TATATATATATTACATATATATATATATATATATATATATATATATATATATTAATATATATATATATATAGATGAATTACGCAACTCCGTTACTTAAGATTGAAACTATATTTTCTTACACTATAGATTATTTATATGTATTTGTCTACGATCGCTCGTTCGAATACCTACCCATATTTAACCATTCGGCTATATATATATATATATATATATATATATATATATATATATATTAAAAAGAAGGGAGAAACTGAAAAACAAACCTTTTTAAGAATATTAGAAATATCGAGAATATTTAACATCGAAAAGTATAAGAAAATTACTCCCTTTTAATAATATGTGTGAAAATATCCACTCTTTGCCTGATGAAGGTCGAGAGACCGGAAACTCGGGTAGCCAAATTATAGAAATTAAAGCATAATATATGTTTTTAAAAAATGCACATTACAACCAAAAACGTTTGCAGTTTCTCACTTCATTTTAATATACACACTTTTCTCTCGTTGGTACAACTATAATCTTTTTCCTTCATATATATATATATATATATATATATATATATATATATATATATATATATAGTAGAAGTGTCATTGAGGTTCAGAATTTTCTTCGGAAAACTGAAGCAATTTTCGCTGATCTGTTTATCCACCTCGCCAAGAGAAATAACTTTTTCTCTGGATAAATAGAGACAAACATATTTTATTATATTTATAGATTCGATTATTTTTTTACCTCAGTAAAATCTCGTTCTTTTTTCTCGGGTAGGGATACTGCAACCTATATTTTCTCCCATCACCTATAGTTTAAATAACATGACTGATAGCATTGGACGGCGGCTAATTTAAGAGAAGTGCAACGATGTATTCTAACTGCAGAGAATGTAACGTGAAATGACTGTCCTAACTTTCCAAAGAATTCATCGCGATTCGGAGATACTAAAGAAAAGAAACTCTGGTGAGCTATTGCCATTTACATTCTGAAGAAATAAGAAGAAATATATGATCACTCTGGATTTTATGAATCCCACCACGTTGCTAACACTCCATAATTAAATTGCAGATTATCTTTCTAAAATACTTTCGTGAGATATTCATTGTTTATAGTTAATATTTTTAACCGAACTGATCTGAACTGAAGTGGGCTGATCGATTGAGTCCGTAGCATCTGCGTTTGAGCTAAATTTTCTTAAATTTGTTTTTTGTTTATCTTTCATTTAACATACACAGTATCAAGTCTTGTTTGAACTGGTTTCAGAATATTGTTGCTGTTAATAATTAACCGCATTTGAATCGTCCGCCTCAGTCTGGGGACAAGGCGTTTAAAAATAATGTATGATGTAGTCTATGTTTATAAGCGCGCAACGCACAATAATTAATCTTTATGAGCGTAAAGGATCTACAAGCAGTATAAATGACCAGTGGCTAGCAACGTGTAATTCGTGAACTGAGTTCGAATTCCAGTAGAGACCATTACATTAATTTTTTGGGAAAGGTATAAATCCATCTCTTTCTCCGCAGCTATGAGTTGTTTAACAGGACAGACCAGGCTCTCTAAGAGAATTACAACAGTAAATTCAAATTTTTATGTCACTCTGGTGACAGGTTGCGATGAGTGAATTTTCACCGTTTCTTATTCTTAATCTCATTCATGTCCGTTGTTAGTTTTTGATTTTGTTGACTGCACATTCTAGTGAGAAAATAAAACACCATAACGCAATTCACTCCGCAAGAAATTAAGAAACGGTATGCTGTACTTCTTGGCATTCGCGCCGAAAGCCCCCCCAAAAAAACATTTCAGTGTAGTTGGGTGTCAATCTGAGGACATTGCAAAGAGAGTTGGTTTCATCTAATGGTGATCATGAAGGTGTTTGTAGGGATCACTAGTGAGGTGACGTGATGACTCCATTCATCTTCCCACAGGGCCTCAGACTCAACACAGAAGCCTACATCAAGTGAGTTGAGGAGGTAGTGCTCCCCTGGGTCAAGAGGGTGGCTGCTGGAGGACCCTATGTCTGGCAACAGGACTCTGTACAAACCTTCACAAGCAGGTGAAGACAGTTTTGGCCCTGAGACAATTTCTGCGACTACATCACCCTTTACATTTAGCCACTAACTCCCCAACCTGAAACCTCCTCGATAATTATGTGTGGGGCGCAGTTGAGCGAGAGACCAACAAAACTCTTTGTAACAACAAACATGAACTGAAGTCAAAGATTATGGCAACAATCACCAACAAAAACAAGGAGGCCATCGCGAAGGAGATTCCAAATACGTCTGGAAGCAATGGTTGAAGCCACTGGCGATTTTGTTGAACAAACTTACTCTTCGTATTTCAATATATTTTTGTGTAATTTTGGTAAATATATCTGACATATATATGAAGTGTCAGTGTTATTTTCACTTTTGCGCAATTTAGACAAAAATTTATCGATCGCACCCTGTATGGAATCTTACTTATTATAAAACGCAGATTGTGCGCGTGTGTGTGTGTGTCTGTACGTTTATATATTGGATCGGATTTCCTACATTTTTCAACCGATTTCAACAAAACTTCACAGGACTACATGAAATTACTTTGCGGTGGTTCTGACCGCACCAAAAATTGGAAAAGCACAATAGTTTTTGCACGAAATCAATTTGAAAACACGATTAAGAGGCATCGCTGTTTCGAGAATGGAAGGACAACTCATATCGAGTTATACTTATTATAAAACCCAGGTTGTTTGTTGTGTGTGTGTGTGTGTGTGTGCGTGTGTGTGTGTTCGCTCGTTTATATATGGGATCGGATTTCCTACATATTTCCATATTTTTCAGTCTTTATGATGGTCGATACTTGATCTATCTCTTACTGTTACATCCCCGGGCAACGCCGGGCTCTACTGCTAGTAGGTTATAGAGTTCACTTTTATCTATATATTTCCTTCAGGACTCTTTGATACCGGCTTGTGCCCTACTGTACTGGATGAATGAAGGAATATCCGTGCGGGCCTAGCTGTCAGCTGTAAAGTTTCGAGTTTAACAGTGACGCGACCCAGTATAAGCTTGATTTGTGTTTCTCTTTAAGTTTGCAAGTATGTCGAACATTTACAAGTTACAAATCAGCGAACCCGCGTACGTATATATCGCTGAATTTTAAGGTTCGGTAGATATTTGTTCATCAAATTTGTAAACCAATCACTGGAAAGAAAACAAACAACTAATGAATGCATCATTAGTTTTTTCTCTCTTTTTACCTTTCCTTTTTTCTTTCTCTTTCTCCGCATTTTACCTCTCCGTCCTTTTTTTCCTTTCACTCCCTCATTCTCTCTCTCTATGTCACTTTCTGTTTCTCGTATTATCTCCTGTCTTTCAGCCCGCTCTTTTTCTCATTCTCTCTCCCTCTCTCACTTCTTGCTCCTCCATCTTTCTCTAGTACAAATTATTTTGAAGTGATTATACGCTGATATAATTACAAAACGGATAAATACATATTCCGCGCGTTGATAATTAGATAAGAGTTATCTTCTCCTAACCTTCATTTGATCAATCTCTGTTCGAATTAGGACCGACATCAGATGGATCACAATCGCCCCGAGCGACGACTCTTTGACCTTGGTGGCGCTCCATTAGAAAAATAACGCGCCCAATCACTTAATGGCGAAATTAATTTGAGATGCGAACAGCGGATGTGGGGGTAACAAAAGAAATCAATGCTGCACGGTATATAAATCGCGGGTAAGCTGTGACATCTCCGTGGACAATGTCAACCACGTGATCAGTTTGACTCGGCCCTCGTCGAAACTGTAATTATTTGGAAACTTGTTCATAATTATTCCTTCTATTTATTTTTTTCAATTTTTTTTTGTTTTTGTTTTTAGCTAAAATCATTTCATTACGCACAAAACAGAAAAGAAAAATACCAGGGCGCCTATTGTAGCGCAATGTTATAGCAATCTCTTCTTACAGACAAAATTCCTGGGTATGATGATAAACTACATCCGGCAGCAAATTGTAGGTTTTGAGGAGCGTGGAACCACCTCTTAATTGCTGTTGTTCCCAGATCGACCCTGACCTGGAGTGGTCACACCTGTTCGGGAGTCCCAGTTATGGGCAAATATTGACTCTCTCCAAACAACAACAAAAAAAAAACATGAAAGTATAAAAATACCAGCAATATGTTTTTTAGATATACACACCTGTGCAAATTAATTGAAACAACCGCTTTAGTGTCCTTTCTTTCGACATTCGGTCAGTTTTAGTCGCACTGAAGTGACAGGGTATAATCGATTTCTATTTTTCCTCAGATTAGGTCATTTGGAGTGATCTACAGTAATATGAATCTATTTTCGAGATGCATGATGAAATTTGTTTGGCCTTAAAAAATATTACCTTATTCGTGCTGCATCAGATTTTTATCACGCACATACGCTATTGTCTCGACTGTTGATTAGTTGTCCTACAGCCATTGACTGCGATGGACTTTACTCCAAGGAAGCGTACGAAAATTGTAGCGCTGCACGAGCACACTGGCATCAGTGAGCAAATCAAAGTACTATAAACTGACCTGGAAACTCTCCTGATTTAAATCCAGTCGAGAATCTGTGGTCAGTCTGCAATGAACAATTTCGTGGAATGGACATACTAACTACTAACATGTGCATTGGGGCGTTTAAATAATAACGCAATTATTCGTTTTGTTTCAAATAATTTTCACAAAGGGGTGTATATAAAAAGACCAACAATCTGTAGTTGAAGGAATGCCATTGCTTTAAAATATATATTATTTGAAGCCATAAAATAGTGGTGTTCAAATCATTTAGATTTCGGTATTAAATGACCCATATAGGTGTTTATATTCCACTAAACAAATTGAACCAACCAACTTACTAGCAAATACATTAGTCTCGAGAGTTTGAATTTTGGCGGATCCTTAACTACTGTCACGTGGTACTTAATTAACCTTAGATCAGTATATAGGTATGGTTTTCTTAAATAACCATTTACTTAGTAATCGCTTCCGGCAACATCAGATTGAAACACCGGTTCTCTTACGATCACCAAAGTTAAGCAACGTTGAGCCTGGTCAGTACCTAGGTTTGTGACGGCTTGGGAATACCAGATGCTGTAACCTTGGATGTGTGGATGGTATGATGGTTACTGTTTCGGAATTGTTAAACGGGGACACGAGTTCCAATTCCAATTGGGTTCGTTATCTTCACTTACGCGCAAAAACCCTTGGGAAAGGTATGAATCCACACTCTTCTCCTCCAAATATGGGTTAATTAGTTAGACTTGTATCAGTAAAAAACATTATTATTTCAAAGAAAATAAATAAAATTAAATGAAATTTCGTACAATATATTTAGATTTCGGCAGTAAATAACCCATAGAGCTGTTGATATGTCGCTAAACAAAAACAGTCAATCAACTAACATTATTTATTAGTGGCACAAATTCTACAGAAAACAAGGAAAATGAAAATTCCATGGACAAAGAAGTCTTAAAAATGGCAACAGATTGAACACGTATACTCAGAATCAGGAAAGAGACAGCTTAATTTCCTTGGACACTTAATGATGAAGGCGAGCTTCCTGGGGATATTGCTAAGGGCCACGGAGGACAGGAAGTTGGGGAGAGCCATGACCGTCCATATCATGAAGGAACGCGGCACTTAGAAAATTCCATGGCGACAGAACGAACACTTTTACTTAGAATCAGGATGAGACAATTGAAATCTGTTGGACACTTAAGGAAGGAGTACTTCTAAAACTTAATCCTCATGAGGCATGTTGCTAAGGACCAAAAGGTAATGAAGCTGTGGAGAGCTATGATCGTCTATGTCCCGAAGGGACGCGTCACATAGAAGAAGAATGACACTAATACCCGGAATTTGAGCTTGCTATAATACAGGGTGCAGTAGAATTACTTCCCATATATACCGCCCAGAAATACCTCCTACATATTAGTGAGACATTAGTGTTAATGACGTCTTCATCTAGCTAATGTCTTATAATTATGTGGGAGGTATTTTCGCCACGCCCTTTATCTTAACTGCAAATAGCTTATAAAAACAATGTTGGTTGACTTGATCACAGAATATTTCTCTTATATGACTTTGCAGTTTTGAAAGAGTTCAAAAGCGTCTACGTCGACTTGCGGGTGATGAACTTTACATCTTACAGTCCATTTACCACAGAGGAAACGTTGCAATTATCTCGCTATTTTATTGCTCTTTCCATTGAAAATATTCAGACGGTCCACATTACTTAGTTCCCCCTACTCTACCTCATCAAAGACCCGGCATATATTGAGGCAAACCACCCTCATTCACGTAGTATTACATACTCAGGAGTAAGTTCCTCTCGGGTAGCTTCTTCCCAAGAACTGTTGCTTTGTGAAAGAGAATCTCAAGTGGATGCTTTGCTGACAACTATAATCTTAACCTCTTCAAGTCTAGGGTTAACCGTCATTTTTTCCACATATCCGCTTAAACCACGCCCCTTATTCGTACCGCTCACAAAACAATCGAATTCCGTAAACCTTATTGATCCTTGAGCCTTTTAAGAGTTAAAGTTAATAAAAAATGTAAATGTTTTTTGTTAGTTTTGTGATAGAGAATATGATACGATTATTTTTATATGTACTCTGTATTGTTCAAAATATTTCGAGAAATTTTTGGATTATAGGTTCTAAGTATCCGTGCTTTGCTGATCAAACTCAACTGAAACTTTCCCCTTTTACAAGATTAGCTTAAAACAATCTCCGTGTTTTCAACAATAAAGTTTGTGGTGAGACATTAGAAAATCTTTTACTTAATAAAGACGCAGCACTTTCAAATAAAAAAAAATTCCTGGACTTTTACAATCAAAGGTCGTCCGTTTTATAAGCGAATACCCTGTACGAAAAAGTTTGTGTGAAAATATGTCAGATGACTCTGCGAAAATAAAAATCATCGTTCAGTTATCCTAAAACTGTATTGTTAATCGCCTTGGATTTTAAGCACTTTCTTCACATATTTTCACATATTTTCTTCACATATTTTCTTCACATATTTTCTGCACATATTTTCTGCACATATTTTCACATATTTTCACATATTTTCTTCACATATTTTCTTCACATAATTTCACATATTTTCTTCGCATATTTTCACAGTTTTTCGCATATTTTTCCATATTTTCTTCACATATTTTAACTTATTTTCTTCAAATATTTTGACATATTTTCTTCACATATTTAAAAAGAGAGATTGAGTGATAGATGAATAACAAAGATTCTGTTCGTCAAAATAGCGGTCGACTAGAATATTTATAAATTTTAACATTATCAACGCAGTCTTTGCAAATACATACCTCAGTAACAACATCAATATCTTAAATAGTATAAATAATACCAAATGACCAGTTCTATAAATTCAATTCGAATTTACCATCACACCTGCGTAATGGATGCGAGATCAGGGAATCTCAGAGTTAAGTGAAAATGTAATATTATTTATTACAAAATAATTAGATGGATGATTAAAATATATGTAGTAAATGATTACAGAGCCGATGATAAAGGAAACATTCATTAATAGTAGCAGATAATAATATGAAATGTTCAGTTCTAAAATGAAATTCAAATTTACAATCAAACCTACAGAGCGAAACAGAAGAGACACGATGAGTGAAAATTTAATTTAATTTATTACAAGATGGACAGATACAGGATGCGGTAGAAATACCTCCGACGTATACCTCCAAGAAACAGAGCACATCGATGTTATGTAATGGTCAACCAGCTTGTCTTGCTAGATCAATTACGACTGAATAGTAAGTTCGATCCTCACTGGGTGCTCCATACTATATTTAAGTGTACTTTGACCTGGGGTAATGGTTAGGAAGCTTGACCAATTACGACTGAATAATGCTCGATTCTCATTTGCTGCTTCTTACTTTCCATATTTCACAACTAAGATATGTTTATTAAATCATTTTGAGGCAGGCCGACGTGTTGCAGTTGTTTGCAAGCTTAACTCGCTAGATCCATTATCGAATGAGTAGTGAGCTCTATCCGCAATCGGCGCTCCATAATTTCGGCCTTGTACCACATCTAAGTCTCGATTAGTAAATCGCTATACTTCTCAGAAATACATCCTACATAATAGTAAGACATAACCTAGATGAAGACATCATTGCCAAAAATTCAATCCTGTAACACAATAACCATAATAACAGTAGCAGTCGTTAATAAATCTAGTGTCAACAGCATCTCTGGGGTATAAAAGCCTTAAATAGCTCACATATCCTGTTTTCCTCTTTAGAACTATGTAACATGAACTTTCCATGCTGAAGCTAAAAGAGCTGTGTACTCTTCACACTGAAAAACACCAATACATTAAGTCACACTCAAATATATTCATTAACATTTCGTTGTTTATGCAATTTCTTTTGTTAATTTTGTTTAATAAATAATATTTTTCGATGCAAATCAGTTGATCTGTTTCTTTCTGCATATAACCTTTTTCACCATTATTATTTTATGTACTGTAAAATATAATCGTAACAAATCTTATAGAAGTCGCTAAGACACTAAACCTGAAAAAAAAAACGTCAGCTCTAAAGTCAGTGGTATTCCTAACTGCCCTGAAGTTGTCCTCAAGTCAAAATTTAATCTCTTCCGTCGCTTTGTCGGTTGACTTTACCGTTAATCGAGAAAAAAAGTCCATTCTTTTTAATCGTTTTCTGTTCAAACAGACGAAATAAATTGTGTGAAAATGGAAAATAGATGATTAAACATTGATAAATTGTTTTTTTTTCTTTTATTCTTTATTTAAAATCTGCATGTATCAATTTCGGCATAGAGTGTGCTCTGGGCTACAGCTTGTTTTAGGCAATTTCTAATAGGATTAATATGTGTTTGATATAAATACATTGTTGTTATTACTATATAAATGTATTTCAAATAGTTTTCCGAAATAAATATATCATTGCCAATGAGCTGTACCAGTGTCTCAGTTGCTATCACAGTTAAATGTTACCTGTCACCACCAAATCCGGAAAGGATATTTATTGTCGCCATATTGTGGTCAGTGCTACTAATGAAAGAAATGATCTCAGCTGATAATTGTGTCCAACCCACAAATGTTTCATCCACTGCGCACGTACAAAACGAATAGAGACTGATTGATAAATGTAATTGAAAACAAAAATAGTAATAAAAACAATTATTTCTTTTTATAGAACAAAAAAAGTTTATGTTCCTTCTCGTTCATCGAGTTGCAGCAGACAGTTTATTTTCCTTTTCAGGAATAAACCTACCACGGCTCATCAAAATATCACAGTGTTTTATGACTAATAACAACGTCAATAAACAAATTTAACTGTGACCCATATCCGAAAATAGCACAAAGACGGCTAGCTGAAACGATCCGGCTAAAGGGACGTGGTTACATTTTAAGTAACGGAAAAGTCTTTATCACTAGTGAATAATTAATGCAAGTAATACTAGAAATGTGTTTGTTGTGGTGGGGGGGGTACTTACATCTATCATAAAAATTCATTGTTATATAGATTTTAATTAAACATAATACAATGTCAATAATTTTATTAGATTAATGCAGGAAAGTGCAGTCGAATATTTTACATGCCTAGCAAGCGAAATAAATTCTACTGTAAAAAGGATGTGAAAATTCGGCTAGTTGCTTTGAGTAAAATGGATGCCATCTGGAAATCTGTTCGACAGACAAACTCAAAAGAAGATTCTTTCGCGCCACTGTAGAGGCGGTTTTAGTCTATGGTGACACTGCCTGGACTTTAACTTAATACCCTACAGTCTAAGCTTGATGGAACCTACACTCGGATGTTGAGAGCTATACTTAACATCTCTTGGAGAAAACATCCAACGAAATCACAGATGTATGGACCCATCCCTGATATTTCTACAATCTTACGCGATCGCAAAATGCTCTTTGCAAGACACTGCTGGCCAGCAAAACAAAAACTTTCGAGTGATCAACTGCTTCGGACATCTACTCAAGGCATAAAACCGACTGCAATCACCTACATTGACCGGCTATGTTATGACGCATAAGGCCTCCATATTAACCTTCCTACCTTGATACAGAATTGTTATGGTTGGCGCGAT